AGCAGCATGGACAAAGGGAGGCAGTGTCAAACGAGTGGCAAGCAATTCCAGAGGATGAGCACATGGGTTCAAGATGGGTTGTGACAAAAGAGGACGCTTGAGAAGTCAGCTGCAGAGCATCATGAACTCCTTGCTCAGGAGTCTGCATTTTATCCAAGAAGGAAATGACATGATCAGATTCCATTTGGGTTTACTTACTCTGACAACTCTATAGATGTAGTGAATAAATATGAGAGTGCAGACAGGGAGTCCAGGTAAGGGGATATGGCGCTATCTAGGTGAGAGAGCGTGAGGATAGAAGCCGTGAAGATGAATGATTCCTATGTCTAATCTAAGGACCTGATGCCTGACTAGAGTTGAGAGCTGAAGGGCAGGGACAGTGGTGTGCTTGTAAAGTTTTTTTTTTTTTAAGATGTGCTTCATTTTTCTTTTTCTTTCTTTCTTTCTTTTTTTTTGCTGAAGAAGATTGACCCTGAGCTAACAGCTGTTGCCAATCTTTGTCTATCTTGTATGTGGGTAAAGGGGGTGGTGAGGAGACAGAGTAGCTGTCATTTGTTACCTTTGTTGATTTCTGTGATGTAAATACTCCCATCGTGGTCAATTTCTGGCTACCCATGTGACATCATTGAATGCAGAGTTGGGAATAGATACTAACACTCTCACTGACCTGCGAGTCAGTGAGAGTAGGGCAAGCAGACCACTGGATGGGGAGGAATTGAGAGGATCACTCTGGTTTCTGGCTTGAGGAAACTGGTGGGACGTGATGCCATTAACTTAGACAAATAGGAAGAGGAGGATAATTTGGATGGGGTGGGGAGGGGCAGAGATAATGTGTTTAGATTATAATATTTTAAACTTGAGGTACCAGGAAGAGATTTCTAGTAAGCGGTGGCCCATTAGGTCTGGAGCTCCAGAGAGAGGTCTGGGCTAGACAGATAACCTTGGGCGACATCAATCTTGAGTTGTTAGTTAAAACTACAAGATCATCCAAGGACAAGTTTAGAACAAGAAGGAGAGAAAGAGAGAAAGTGGCCAAGCACTGACACCTGAGGGGTAGCAATGGCTCATAGGGTACTGGCCAAGAACTTAGTCAAAAAGGACCAGGAGAAGGGTTAGAAAAACTTAGGAGAGACCTGTTCATGAAGTGAGTGACGAAGGGTGCCAGATGTCCTCCATGGGTCAAGTAAGAATACTGCAGGGAGGTCATTGAATTTGTCACTAAGGAGCCATTGGTGACCTTTTCCAGAGAGTTTTTAGTGGGGTGCTACGAGCGGAAGCCGGGCTGCATTTGGTTGAAAAGTGCATTAGAAGCAAGTAACTGGAAGCCCTTCTTTCAGGCTGGTTGTCAGTCTTCCTTGGCATCTCAGGGGCCTTCAGAGCTCATTTAGCAAGTCCCACAGCATCCCTGACAGCCTCCTCTCAGCTCCCTGTGTTCCTATCCTTGGAGAAGCCAGAAGAGAATCCAGACAAACTGCCCGGGTTCTTGACCAAGTTCCAGATGAGCCTGTCAGATCTTCAGCGCTAGTGGAAGGAATGGAACCGGCGCCGGCTGAGCAGCCACATCCAGGGCAGCATTCTGAGGGGACTGGGGGAATAGGAAGGCTTAGAGGCTGTGTCCCGGGCCAAAGCCCGTTTGGGAGTGGCAAGAGTCAAATGCTGGCGAGACCAAGTGTAAATATCCAGCCCAGATGGCTTGGGGCAGAAACCTGGCGTGGCGTCAAGACTTAGAGTCATGGCAGGGGTAATGACTGGAGTTAACGCAGGACACGAGCAAGCAAGGAGCCAAGACAAGTGCTGCAAACAGCCTCGGGCACCGAGAGCTGGCCTTTATTGGGTATGGCAGACTGGCACAGAGGCCCAGAAGGAGAACATCCAGAAGAAATATCTTTTTATTTTCTAGAAAAGCCAAACATGGGGCATTTCTTACATGCAGCACAGTGGGAGAGGTGGAGGGATGGGGCGGCCCCGTGCACAGCCCCACAGCCCCTCAAGGAAGAAGGCATAAGCACCTGGCCACTCTCTGCAGAGTGGATGACCCCTGTGCCTAATTGATTTGGCCCATGTTGGGGCCAAATTTGGCGTCATATCCAGATGCAGGAGGAGGCAGTCACCCCAAACCAGACCAGTTTCTTGCCCAAGAACTGTGTCCAGTGATGCCATGCTCCAGGCACTGCCCTGAAGGAACGCACAGGAGTCCCAAGAGAGGAGCTGGCTTGAGCTGTGGCACCCAGCAGCCTGGCAGAGCCTGAATCCCGGATCACTCCCGAGGCGCACCTGCTAACTGAGCTGCACTGACCCAGCGTGAGCAGTTGCTAAGGCGGGGTTGCGAATGGAGCCAGCCGGGGCCACAGGGCCCACCTGCAACAAACGGGCCTGCGGTCAGAGGGCAGCTGGGCTTCTCGTGGGCTCACTCAGCCACTTGGGCAGCTCCTTCACCAAGCTTGAACCTTGCCTCCCTCCTGCATAATTCCCAGCCTGCCCTGGAAGGAGTCAGGGTCCCATCTACTGGAAGCCCCAGGCTCAGCTGAGGGACAGCTAGCTACCAGTGGACCTGGAGATTATTAGGACCCATCTCCAGGGTTGCTTGCAGGGCATCATGCTGTGTGGGCTTATACCAGCCTCAGATCATTCCTAGCCTGAGCCATCCAGCTAGATGAGTGTGCCTCACTCTCCACGTGGGCCTGTGCACCATCCCGGTAAGAGCAGAAACATCCAAGCTACGACCTCCTTCTTAGCAGCCAGGCCTACCCTGCAGTGGTCTGTCTCCACGCATTCCTCAGTTGGGCAAATTCAAAAATCTAACTTTGACCCAATTTGTATTCTGATTTGGAAGATGAGTTTCAAAGCCATCCATGTGCACATCCATCTTTCCCATTATCCACCACCCAGGGACCAATGACCAGACAGGGTGTCAAACTGGATCCTTTTAAATAGTAATAGTAAGAGATATATATATAGATAAATATACTTATCTGTAGATGTCATGTATATGTATTCTTATGTATACAGATACGTATGTCTGCCTTGTGACAACAATAAGCCACTTATAAGTATTCATAAAATGCAACCAGATAAGTAAAAGTGGAAGCAGGTGAGGAATAAAAAAGGAAAACAAACAAGGCTAATGCATGATTCTGTCTTGAATTTTGCACTCCTGCCACGTCTGGGCACTAATTTGGCTCTCCACTTGCCAACATAACAGGTATCTCGAAAAAGTCAACCTGGTGGATTACACAGTTCAGTGATCATTAGCTAGGAAATGAACTAATCACTCAGAGTAAAGTGTAATGATTCCTGATGCCAAGACCAGAAAGAAATCCCCCTACGATCTTCTTAGAGAGGACACTGCGTGTTGTAAAGATTCTGGCAGGGTTCGCACGGAAAACACAGATCCTGTTGCTTCCTTCCCCTTCCCCCTTGACCAGCAGCATCCCGTCAAATCGTCTTTGAGTAAAGAGACGCTGAGTTGGGGACCCCTTTCTCTGCTGCTTTGGTTTCATCCAGTGGTACGCACTGGGGCGGTGGTTCCCGCATTTCAGTCGCCTGGGAGCTTGTAAAAATTCTGATGCCCGGGCTGCACCCCATAAATCAGAATTTCTGAGGATGTCACCCAGGGCATTGAGATTAAAAACTCATAATGATAACAGGTGTTTCTGATGCATAGCAGAGTTTGAGAAGCACTGCTTTAGAGTTGATTTTGAGCCCCTACACACCGGTATGTCCATACTGGTTGTTACAATACGGAAATACTTCCCAAGTGGTTAGTAAATTGCCTCTGCCTGAACCCCAAGACTGTCTCCCAGCTGCTTGGGCCCCTCTACCAGGAGCCGTCCGACCTCCCCATAATCTAACAACTACGGGGGGACGTTTGGAGCAGCCGTGTTACAGCAGGGCCCTGCTCCAGGGCCACAGCCAGTGTGTGTTCTGGTTGATCATGCCCACGTCTGGTTGGCCATGTGCACTGTGTTTTGAATACCATCTCTGCCCATTCGATCAATCTAGGGTGTAGACCTAAGTACATCTTCAAAGAGGAACCAGACTCCCACCCACGTCACGCCCCACCTCATTTCAGAATCACCCCAGAACATGGAGAGGCCTTCTCACAGGTGAACCAGGGAGAGAACTGCTTCTCTCTGGGACAGGACCTGAGGAGCACCGTCTTCAGCCCTAGCCCGTTAATGGGAGCTGATGCCCAGGAATAAGTTAGAGCCAGCCCCGTCTCTGATTGCCCTGGTCCTGGCTGGCTGCACCTGTCAGCTGACAACCATCCTACATGGGAGCTTCTTATGTGCCTGCTCCTGTGCTGTGCACCTGATATCAGGGATCCAGCCTGACTTTCATATTCCTCTGAGGCAGGTACCGGCCTTACCCACATTTTATAGGTGAGAAAGCTGAGGCCCAGAGAGGTGAAACAGCTTGTCCAAGAGGCGGAGCTAAGATTCAGACTCAGATCCGTCTGGCTTCAAAGTGCCTGTCCTACCTTTTCTTCTTCCATCACTCGCTTCTTCAGGGCCCCAGGCTAGTTTAGCTGACCTGCTTGGGCTGTTGGCTGCAGCTGGCCAACTGCACCCTCTGATTCAGATCCTTCAAACGCACTCACTCACGTCCTCACTCTCGCTTCCTCCCTCGGGTTTGGGGTACCCATGGCCAAGTCATACTAGCTTCCAAGGGCCTCCCTGCCAGACGGTGGAGGCCCAACATGGAAACATTAATCCTTTAACCTCCTGCCTCCCCAAACCAGGGCTTTGTAAAGTAATTTGCGTGTTTTCATGCAAGTCAGTCAAACCTGCATTGTTTGCTGCTTTTAAACTACTAGATAGTTGTGAAATGTACCCCCATCTATGGATGTGCACCGTTATTCGTATTTTAATTCTCAAATGTTTTGAGGGAGGAAAAAACATAAATTTGTTGACTTGTATCGGCCTTGGAATATTACTGTCAAAAATTTTTTATCATTGAGGTATTTGCCCGCGTTTCTTTTCTTTCTCCTTTTCCTGCAGAAATGAGACCAGAGACGAAGCTGAAGCTTGGTGAGCAGGGTCCTCGAATCCTCGGGGTCCAGAGGGTCTACATTCAGACGCGGGAAGAGAAGCGCATTAACCTGACCGTCGGCAGCCGAGCCTATTTGCTGCCCAACACCTCCGTGATTATTAAGTGCCCAGTGCGACGATTCCAGAAGTCTCTGATCCAGTGGGAGAAGGATGGTCGTTGTCTGCAGAACTCCAAGGGCCTCGGCATCACCAAGTCAGGCTCGCTAAAAATCCACAGTCTCGCGGCCCCGGACATCGGCATGTACCGGTGCATCGCGGGCTCTGCACAAGAGACAGTTGTCCTCAAGCTCATCGGCACCGACAACCGGCTCATTGCACCCCCAGCCCTCAGGGAGCACCTGGGGGAACGTCCTGGGATGGACCACAATGAGGCCAATAGTTGGGGAGCTGCATGGCATAAAATGAGGCAAATGTGGAGTACCAAAAATGAGCTTTATCTGGACGACGGGCAAGTGAATAAGCAGCCTTTCTTGAGAGCTCTGCTGGGCCCCTGCAGCAGCTCTGCAGGAAACACCAACTCCTGGGAGCTTAAGAATAAGCAGTTCGAAGCCGCTGTCAAGCAAGGAGCGTACAGTGTGGACGTGGCCCAGTTTGATGAACTGATCAGAAACATGAGTCAGCTCATGGAAACCGGGGAGGTTAGTGACGACCTGGCGTCCCAGGTGATCTACCAGCTGGTGGCCGAGTTAGCCAAGATGCAGCTGGCACACACGCAGTGGAGGGGCATCCGGGAAGAGGAGCTCCCTGCAGCTCAGCTAAGGGGGGAAACAGGAAGTGTGCCCCAAAGCTCAAATGCGAGAAACTCAGGCAAGCTGACTTTCAAGCCAAAGGGCCCCATTCTCGTGAGGCAAAGCCAACCCACCTCGATTTCCTTTAATAAAACAGTAAATTCAAGGATTGGAAACACAGTGTACATTACGAAAAGGACCGAGGTCGTGAATATACTGTGTGAGCTTCTTACCCCCAGTGAGGCCACATATACCTGGACCAAGGATGGAGCGTTGTTACAACCCTCGGAAAAGTAAGTAAAATAAGACTACAGTGTTCACTTTGTGATACTTTCTTAATGGTTATTCCAGTTTTCTTGAAAAAATTTTCGAATTCCTTCTCCTAAGAATGTGTTTCCAACAAGATTCTTTAGGGAAGAAACTTGAAAATGTCAGGATGTGTTTTTCACATATGCATTGGAATTTGAAAAATTAAACCATCCCATCCATTCACTGCCGTGTAGGTGTGACACGACACTGGATACAGTAAGACTGAGTTTAAGCATGTATAGACTCTCTCTTTGCAGAGCACTTGACATTGAAAAATAAAATCAATATAAGGCCGTTAAGGAAGTAGGCACACTTGCCGTAACCCTACATTATGTAGGACCTGCCCATCAGAATTTACGGTGCCTTCCACATCTAGGAGATGTGCTCTCTCATCTGAGCTCACATCAGCCCTGGGAGTCTGGCAGGTCAGGGGCTAATAATTTTCTAGTGAGGTCATTGAGAAATAGAATCCCATGACTAATTCATGGCCGGTCAGAACCAGGGACCCTACTTCTTGAACACTGCCAGTGATGTTTGACTATCACAGATATAATAGCGTTGGTAGAAAGATTGGGGAGCTGAAGTAATTTTCTGTATCATGCAATTTTTTACGTCATTAAATCCAAAAGTAAGATAATAAGGATCAAAGTTTTTTGAGATGTTCAAAACACAATATTGTCATATATTATTTTATTGTGATCTCTATGTCAGTGCAAAAACATCACATTTCATTCATTTTACATAAACAACAGGGAATGACGGAAATATTAATTCACTTTTGCATTCTCCGCTGTCTCCAGATCTTGCTGTCTCTACACATAGGACTGTAGACATTTTGCTTTTTCAAAATTTGCATTTAAGAACTCGAGCTGCACCTTGGCTGCCTCTAGGCATTGTTAAGAGACACAAACAAAACAGCAGATGTTAAATGGTTTTGCAGACCATAAGGTAGTGTAAAAATGCAAGTTTTATTTTTATCAGGTCTTTTGTGCATTGAGCCTAATATGTGATGTGTCAGAAGAAATCTAGGTAAGAGTCAATTTTTTATAATAGATTGTTAGGCTATGTCTTAGAATGAAAAAGTAGAACAAATATAACTTTATTTTTTTGCCCTGGAACTCTGAACACAAGAGGGTAATGAAGTTTTAGAAGTGGAATAAACCTTCCAGATCAACTAGCTTCGCAGTTCTCAAATCTTTTGGTCTTGAGACCCATTTAAACGTAACAAATGATCGAGGAGCCCAAAGAGCTTTTGTTAATGTGAGTTACATCTGTTGATGCTCACCATAGTAGAAGTTAAAACCAAGAAACATTAAAATATCTGTTCATTAATCCATTTAGAAATAACAGTAATAAGTTCATTACATGTTCACATAAATAAAAATTTTTGAAAAGCAATATTTTAAAATAAATTACTGATAACAATGGCATCGTTTTACATCTTTGCAAATCTCTTTAATGTCTGGCTTAATAAAATATAGCTAGAGTCTCATAAATGCTTCTACATTCAATCTGTCATGATATGTTGTTTCAGTTGAAGTTTATAGAGAAAATCTGGCCTCATGAATATGTTAGTTTGAAAAAGAAGAACTATTTTAATAGCCTTTTCAGATAATTGTGGCTATTGCTCTTTAATATTAAACTAAACTGGACAAGAAGTAGTTTCTTAAAGCTTAGTTGGAATGTGGAGTCTAAAACCGTATTAATGAAATTTTGATATTCTGTTACAATGAAATCTCTTGGTTTATCTCACACTTTGAGTGGACCTTTGACCTACACAAGATTATATAACATCATATCTTGGTCACTTGGAAAATATTGGTTCATTGAATTATACAGATCTTCCAAATATTGACACAGTTCATTATATAATATAAAAAACACGCACATTCTTTACTATCCCTACCCCTCCCATCAGAAAGGTCTTTGAGCTTTAGGAACTTGTCAAGCTCACAAGGGAGAACGCTAATTTTTCCAAAACTCTAATTTTCACTCGAAAGCTCAAATTTCATCATTGGCAACACATACTGTCCGTTGTTTTCCTTGAATTGACCAGCTCATCTTTGTTCATTTAAAGAAATATCTGTGAAATACCCAAGTCCAATAATCATAGTTTATCTGTCAGTCATTCTTTCAAGTAAAGATGAAACAAGCAGCTAGTTGAGCCGGCAATTCAAACAACCGTGCCAAAGTACCGTGGCACACGGCAGAGGGCCGTGCGTGAGCTTCCTGTTTGTCATACAGAATATTAAAAGCGTATGTTCTCAGGAGTCGAGATTTAGTGAAATTAGTTAGTTTTACTGCTTCATTAAGGGAAACCGGCATTTTTTGCTTTGCCTGTGAACGTGTGGTGGTCAAGAACAGTGACTGCTGGTCCACTTTGCTGCCGCTGCCCCGGTTCCTGCTGAGATGCCAGCCATTCTCCCACGGCTGCTCTTACTGTCAGCACCAACGTGAACACAGGGACAAGGGCAAAGAATGCCTTAGTTTTGACTTCATGGCCCCTGGGGGGTCCATGAGCCACGCTTTGAGGCCCACTCAAGGATCTCACTTTATAAATTGTAAGGAAACAGAGGCTGAGAAATGTGAAGTGATTGCTTAACCTCTGGCCATGTAAGTGCTACGGGCATGTGGGAGAGCTCGGTCAGTTTAAGCACACGTTTGTGGAAGGGAGCTGGTTTTCAATACTTTGACTTGGTCAAATGGAATTAGCCTGAGTTTCTGAGGCTGAGACTCCTGGAGGTCATATAAAGAAGAGGTTTTGACATGGTGCATCCTACCCAAACGTGTTTCTGCATGCTTTGAGGCTCAACCACTTGATGTTGAAGCAATTCCACATGGCTATTAAAAGTTTTTGTTTTTAGAGGCCAGCCCGGTGGCATAGTGGTTAAGTTTGCGCCCCCTGCTTGCGTGGCCAGGGGTCCATGGGTTCTGAATCCCAGGTGTGGACCTAGCACTGCTCGTCAAGCCATGCTATGGCAGTGTCCCGCATACAAAATAGAGGGAGATTGGCACAGATGTTAGCTCAGGGACAATCTTTCTCAAACAAAAAGAGGAAGATTCCAGCAACAATCCTCCTCAGCAAAAACAAAAAAAAAAGTTTTTGTTTTTAATTTTTTTAAGAGAATAAAAGAGTAAGATTCATTGTTATTTCCATTTTTTTTCCTCAAACCTACATAATTAGTTTGTTCAGTTTATGTTTAATTTCCCTTATGTAAGAGAGGTTCTCACCTTTAGATACATGTTTCTGAATCTTGCAACATGTTCAGTAGAGGTAATTCAGAAATGGAGTTGTGTTTCTGAGAGCTTCTGTCCAATGAGAGGAAGCTGTGTAGGCGTGCAGAGCGTCTGGATGCCCCCTGAGTAAGAAATCTCAGCCAGGGAGGGAAAGCCGTGGGTGGATTCACTGGAGAGGATGCCTCTGGAAAGAACAGCTTTCTTGTTACTTCAAGTTAAGAGTAAGATTGCGCAGCAGAGGCCAAGGTCACAGCCCTCAGAACGCTCCCTGCTGGTTCCCCAGCTGAGGGACTGGATTCCTGGGTGGCTCCACCGGCCATAAGTTTCACATGTGCTCAACCATTTCCAGCCTCAGTGATTTCTCACCGTGCTGATAAATAGGATAAAACAAGGAATCGTTTGAGGACGCCTAAGTCATGCAGACATATATGTGAGATAGCTTAAGGAAATATTTTAGTCTATTTATTTTGCAAGTGTAGTTATAGTTATACTTTTGTTCTGAATTGACCATTCCTTCATGAAAAGTCCAGCCCTACTGACAGCTGGCTCTGCCATACTCCTGTTTTTGTTCTGGGCTATTCCGCTGTTTTGATTTCCCCCCTCTTTTGCATAGTTCATGTGTGTGTTTTGCATGGGGCTTCCATCCTCCCAGTGTTATTTACTCTGCGCCATTATTCTCTTCTGTTCTGATCATTCACGCATTTAGTCATCAAAGGTTTTTGACAACTTTGCTCTAGAAAAGTGGCTGTGCTAAGTAAGCAGAGAATGCACAGCTGCGGATAAGATTTGGTCCCTGCTCTTGAAAAGATCACAATCTAGCAGGAAGAAATAGATATTTCATCAAATAAACATATGACCCAGAGCAGAAGGAGCCCAGAGCTGGCAGAAGATAACTCTACAAGTGTTGGGGAAAGTTTCACAGGGGAATTACTTTTGATCCAGAACTCAGTAACTTGGAGTTTGCCAGAAGAGGGGGAAGGACATTGCAAATAAAGTGAACAACATATGCTAAAGCTAAGGGTGATGAAAGATCATGGAATGTTCTGGAAACTGTTAGAAGTTCATTATGGCTGCAGCATAGGGGGAGCAACGTGAAGTGACAGGAAATGAAGAAGTGGCCCAGCTCAATTCATGAAGAAGCATACATATAGTATTTATCGATCAGAGCGGTCCACTTTACAGATGCTAAGATCTATAAAGTGGGAGGGGGCCAGCGAAAAACATAATATAGGGACCACTGATCCAGACAGTCTAGAAGCAGTGTCAAATCATTAAGAAAAAATTAAAATAAAAGCAGAACAAGCAGTGTTTCTCATTTCCGTGACTAATCTCATCTGTTCAGGATACATCTGACCAGCTCTGGTTCTTGAACTGGTATTTACATGCAGCTGTTTATGAATATCGATAATTGGGAAACCGTCAGGAACTCATACAGGTTTAGCCCAGATTCTTAACAGCATAGCCAGAATCCCATATGCACAATGCAGCCTCAGCGCTGTTACCTCCACCGACTTCTGCATCCAGCGACGGTGAGGCAACGGCCATCGCCGGGCAGCGTTCACAAAAGGCCCAGTTACTGCCAGTGTGAAAAGCCCAAGTGAAAAATCACACCTGCAGTTTGTCAGGAAGGATTTGGGCAGAAAATGAGGGTTTAAAATCCAGCAAACTAAAGTTTGCTAGTTCGTCTTTTTTTTTTAACGTGGTAGATTAAGCAGTGAGTCCATCCACAAAGGGCTACTCTCTTGCAAAGTGTGCTAGCAAGACTAGATGTCCAAGCACAGTCCATTTCTGCCATTTCTCCGAGTTTAAGCCGAGAAGAAAGATCTCCACTCTCCAGTCTGTGCAGTTTTCTGCTCAGAGGCAGGGTGCTTGAGAAGATCATCTTCTGGGATCCTCGTGAGCCCTGAGTCTATAATTTTGCGGTCTTCTTTCTCTGTGATGGACTGACTGTGGTCCCAGAGCAGATAAATGTGTTACATGAATGCGTCCTCTTTCTAACTGTTCTACAGAATAATTTTGGATGGAATGGGAAAAATACGGATACAGAAGCCTACGAAGGAAGAGGAAGGGGTATACGGATGCTCCGTGGCTAATCCTCTCGGCTCTGATGTGGAAAGCTCTTCCGTGCTGTATGCAGGTAATGCCCGTCGTTGAAACCGGCAATGCCTGGTTTTCGGTTTTGTTTTTGTTTTTAACATTAAACTCTAGAACAGCAGTTCTCAAACTTTAGTGTGCAGCACAATCACCTGGGGAGTTTGTTAAAACACAGATTTCTAGACCCCGTTCCCAGAGATTGTGACTCAGCAGGTTTGGCATGGGGTCCAAGAATTTGCAGTTTTAACGTCTGCCCAAGTTGTCCTGTTGACCTGAGGACCACCCTTGGAAAACGGCTGCTCTAGGTTGAGCTCGCTTCCTGAGAATCGAGAATTAATGAGGCAGGGTTTAATTGGCAGTGTTGATAAGGTAGACTTTTCATTTTTAAAGTGCCACCAGCCAACAGAAGAGAATAATTATCCCTTAAAGGGGTAAATACACCTCCCAGTGGCATACCTACCAATCCTTAGATTGGCTTAATTCTAAGTCCCCCGCCCCCGGCTGTGTTCCCAGTGTAGGACCTTCAGGCTTTGACTTTCTGTCCCTTGATCTTCCTGGGTTGCTCCCGCTTGTGAGCATCAGCTCCTTTGCAGAAAACATCAATTCCGATGAATTCCTGGGAGGAATAGAATTCCCCCTGGCAGCTCCCAGGTTTCCCTTAAGTCCCTCCCAGACCAATGCATATTCCTGGGAGAGTTGGAGCCGGAGGACCTGCTGTGGCAGCTACAGTCCTCTCCCAGCCCAGGAGTTCCTATCTTCTCCAGTCTCGGGACAGCTTTCCAGGCCCCAGGCATCCCAGGAGAGAGCGGAGCACTGGGTCACCCAAGCATCATTGTTCCTAAATTCTCTTCCCTAGAATTCATGGTTACCAAACGGCTAGCTAAAATATCGTTATTCTTTCATGTACTATGTTTAGCTGATAAAACAGGTTAGAAAAATGTGGCTTCTCCCTCCAGGAGCTCACATGCTAACTGTGGAGTAGGGAAACTGAGCGTGGAGGGAGTTGCACAGCAGAGGAATGCGCTGTGGGCATCCTGTTTGGGATGTTGCCTTCCCCGACCCTCACATGCTACTGAGAGACCCCTGGGCGACCAGCTCCTTTCTCTATCTCAATACCCGTCACCTGTATGGTCATGTTGTCTCCCGCCAGTTTATGAGCTACTTGGGGCCAGGAGGGGCTGTTTTCCAGCTCTGTCTTCCCATTGGTCAGCTCAGGCACAGAGTGTATTTCCTGAGTGAGTTATTGAAGGAATCTGTTAAAAGTACATGGTTCTCAAAATCTGGGAAAATAAAACTCCTTAAATGGGTTCCTGATTCTTTGTGACCTTGTTTTTATGAATATTTTTTTCCATGCAAGTTGTATGCAGGTTTGTTTCAAGTTTTCTGTCCAAAAAAGGAGTCAGGGGGTCCCAAGCCCTGGTGTGTTTTCATCCTGCTTTAACTCATCCAAGACTGCCCTGCAAAGACGTTGTTCCTGCCCTGGCATGCCTTCTTTGCTTCTTGTGAACTTCTGACTTGCTTCTTTTTCAAATTATCAAAGAGGACTTTATCCTCAGTTTTGGTTATAAAACCAACACGTCCTCCTAGTCTGTACGTGGTTGTTACGATGCATCCTTGTAGCTCTCTCTTTGATTGCATCCATCTGTCGGCCCATCCATCCTCTGAGCACCTCCAGGCTGTGTGTGTACGAGTCCCCAGGGAGCCCCACGAGGGGTAAAGAGAGAGCCAGGGCTCTGCCTGCTCTCGGAGAGCTTGACAAGGTTTCTCAGATGCCGCGTGGTTTACCAAAAGCAAAGGCCTGAACCTAACGGACTTTCCTGCTTCCCTTGAATTAAGAGGCGCCCGTCATCTTGGCTGTTGAAAGAAACGTCACCAGACCCGAGAGCAGCCATCTGTCCGCTGTGGTCGGAGGCATCGTGGAGGCAGCCCTGGAGGCAAACGTGACAATCCGGTGTCCTGTAAAAGGTAAGTCTCGTCATTTCCAGTGGGAGGGCACAAAGCCAGCCCCGTGTCGCCAGGAGATGCCAGCTGGCATCTTGGCATCGTAGACCTCAGCCTGGCAGGCTTAAGAATCTGATTTTCCAGCACGCTGACGGTGGCTCTATCTCTTGAGGGTGAGCTCACACCAGCTCATGAGACCAATGTGTAAAACAGAATGCCAGCTTATTCCTTTCCAGCGAAGACTGAGGACTGTGCGGGACCTGCCCTGTGTGCGGGCGTGCTCATGTTGGCAAGAGCAGAGCACTTGGTCCCTGTGGGCAGATCTGTGCAAGAGGCTACTCCTGGTCAGGTGGCTGCTTGGTGAGGACGGAGTCAGAGAGAGGGGATTTGCTGAAGTTGTTAGATGTGCCTCCAGCTAGACAAAGCCTGCACTAGGCAGAGCCAGGTCGGGGAGTGCAATGGCTAGGTCCCCTGGCCCAGACTCTCTCTATCCTGGACTGGCCTTGGGTGAGCGTCACCGAACTGTGCCTCAGTGGCTCTTTCTGCTCTGCTTACAACAGCAGATAAAGCTACTTTCTGACGGAATCATTCTTTCTTTAATAGCAATAAGACTTTCAGTCTGACCTTGCCTTCATCTCGGGCCATTCTGCCTCCTGAAGCCACAGATTCTGAAGTCTTAACCTGGCCCCGTGAATTCCCAAACTGAGATCAACATTATAGGCTGCACACGTGGACATTTTATGGGGGCCAGGGGGTGCTGTGTGAATAGCTTTGACCAGTTTCTCAGAGAGCCCTGGTAACTCCTCAGAATTAAGATCTGCTCTCTTGAGGTGACTTTGCACCTTTGTGATCTACTGTGCATCGATTTAACTCTGGAGAAGTGTATTTCTCTGGTTTCCAAGTTCTGAATGGGTACCTGTAGTTGTAGCCACTGAAGATGGATCTGGCCCAGGCCCTGATCCGGAGAGCCCAGGGTAATGGGAGGAGGCCTTGCTGCTGTTCTGGGTACCACAGTGAAGGTACGTGTAAGGAAAGCATCCCAGGACACGCTCATCCAGCCTTCAGGCTCCCCTCCCCTGTGATGGCCAGTTACTTGCCGTGTTTCCAGACCTGCACCTTTGGCTCCACAAACAGTGGAAATTTGCTAACCCCCAAGGTATTATTTTTCACCCCTTGGAAGTCCCTGTGCTGTTCGGCCTGCACAGACTTTTGAAAAATCCTTCTAGCCTCCCAAATGGCTCCACCCACAAGTATGTGAGTTTTCTGGCAAAACTCACCTACCATTACAGAACGGGCCAGCATTCTCTGGCCTCCGCGAGGAGAAAAGCAGAACGGAACTTTGCAGTTGCCAAGCCGCAAATGTCTAGAGTTTCTATAGCCCTACACCTGCAGAGGATTCTGCAAAATAGATCTGACTTCTATTAAGAGAAACCTCAACTTTTAACATCATTTCTAAATTTCTTACTTCCACAAGAGTTTAAAATCAGGCTCTCAGAGGGATGAGCCCTTGAAAGGGTGCTAGTGTATTATTTGCTATCGTAAGTCAGGGAGTAGATTCAGTGGGAACTGTTTTTGTGTGGGAAGCCTCCAGCAAAGACTATTAAACTAGTCTGGGTTTTATTCTCTCGGCCAGGCCCGGTCAGCATGTGGGCCGTCTCCGACCTCTCCCTGACTCTGACTGCCCCTCCTGCGCTGTTCTGAGCACCGGTGGGGCCTTGATGAAGCTCAGTGTTGGGAGGGTTCCTCTCCCCCCTCCCTCCCGCCATGTTCGGCCCTTACTGGGAATGGTCCCATTGGGTCCTTCTCTACCTGGCTGTCATCCTCTAGGCACCAGACCCCAGGAACTCATCCAGAGTTCTTTCCTTTTCAAAACAAACCTGCCTCATTTTGAGTTATGTGCCATTTTCAATAAACCTGCAAATGCTGTGTTTCCGTAAGGGCAGAAGCCATAGCTAACTTACCTTTTATGGAGATTCATCTTTTTAAAGACAGATGTTGAAGTCGATGAAGGGTCAGAAAACTTGGGTTTTGCAGACAGTTCAGTCCCTAGCTGGTCTATGACCATAGGTGAGTCGTGTGTCCTTCCTCCTGTCATCTGTAGAATAGGAAATATACTATGTCGATAGATGGAGGAACTTTGGTTATCATCTAATCCAGTCCCTCATTTTATAGATGAGGGCGTGAGAACGTTTACAAACCTGAATACTGCTTTATGAAATTACATTTCCATATTGCAAATTGAGATGATTTCTGTAAATCAGTGGAGTGTATAAATTTTCTTTTTATTTTCCAGTTGCCCTTAAAATATTTTCCACTAATTGTAATGAGCTCATCTCTTCATACCTTTTAGAGAGATTCATTGTTCTTTGTTATAGCCAAATATGTTGTATTTAACCCATGTGGGATAGATTTCAACAGTTATTTTCTCTAGTCACTCTTAGATGATATTTCTAATAACTATATTAAAAATAGAACCTGAAAATCGATATTTCTAAAGGTTAAAAGTTCTAAATTGCAAGAGTTATTTGTCTTGCTCTTTAAAAAAATGTTTTTCTTCTAAAAATGGGGGGAAAAAATTGAAACTGCACCCTCTCTGCCACCTTCTGGTAAGAAAGGAAAGCTCATCTGAGGAAAATGACCAGTAAATGTCAGTAGCTACGTTTATTTTTTCTCATCTTAGTGCTTATTAAGAACATTATCTATGCCATGATTTTGTTATGTGTGTTTTCTGTGTTGCTCGTTTTTCTCGTTCCTTAAGCTCATTAGAGGCACAGCTGATCTGAGCCTCTGCTCCAAAGTGTTCTTGTGTGTCAGGCTCCTCTTTGGTCTCTAAGAAGCTCTCTTGGCCACAGATTGGAATAAGGTAGAACTAGGAAGATGGTGATTCCCAAGTGGATGGCACTGGTGACACCATCAGTGGCCCAGCCCCGGGAGTTAAAAATCTCTTAAACAGAAAGTATGCTGGACAGCTGCTCCTTAGAGCAAAGTCAAATTGTCTGGAAGAGTTGGAGATGCCTCAAAATTAAAACTAAAGAACAAAAACGTCTTGTAACGCTGGTTATAGAACAGAGGTCTACACCTTCTTGAGGAGGAACAGGTCCACAATTGTGGACCGCACCTGGCTTCCCACCAGGCAGCTGGTTCGTGTGGCACATACAAAGGATGCATTAACAATGAACATAGAGGCCAATAAATAAATAAAATTTTAAGATATTAGCAAACTGAATCCAGAAATGTATAAAACTAAGGAGAGTTTTTCTCAGGAATGCAAAGGTCTTTTTTAACATTTAAAAGTGTCTGCTTTAAACAGACTGTCACAGGTTAGGTCCTCTGAAAGCAGATACTGAGATGGAGTGTGGTGTATGGGATATTTGTTAGTTGTTAATACCTGTGGAAGGGAGGGAGCAAGCAGGATGCGGCAGAGGGTGGAGGAGAGCTGTGTGTAAGCCTTGCCAAGCCCAGGCAAGCATGGAAGCATCCGTGGTTTATCAGGGTTGCCCAGCTGTGGCCCACGGTGCCCAGGCCTTCATAACCTGTCTCCATCAGTCACTGGATGTTGCCTCTCCAGAAGGGCCCTGCTCTCGGGTGAGCCAAGGCAAACTGTTGAGGATCTGACAACTGGAGGCTGCCAGCAGCTGGATACCAAGGCCTTCCTTGAAGGGGTGTCTCGGTGGAGCATCTCCATGTTGACCGCAGAGATTTAAGGAGATGACATTTGTGATCATCTTAGAGATGTAGAAAAAGGATTTGATAAATTTCAGTACAAAATGATGCTGAAACCTCTCAGCAAGCCAGTAATGGAAGAGATCATCCTTACCCTGTTTGTTTGGTTTTTTTTAAGGACCTATCAAAAACCTATAGCAAACATCATACTCACTTAAATGGCGAGCCTTTGAAACCTTCCCATTAAACTCAGGAAACACATAATATACCTTTATTACTGCGTCTGCTCAACACTGCTTTAAAGGCACTAGCCAACACAATGAGATAAAAATATTTAAAAGGAAAATTAAGGATAATGACTAGAAAAAGTTCTTCTTATTTACAGACAACAAAATTGTCTACATGGAAAATCTGAGGAAATATACAAAATTTCAGATGTGTAAATTGTGTAATTCCAATTTTAAAAAGAAGAGAAAAGAAAAGCACAACAGGATTGCTAGAACCTAACAAACTGATCCTGTAATTAATATGGATGAGCAAGTGACCAAGAATGGCCCAAACATTTCTGAAGAAGAACAAGGTTGTTGAGATTTGCTCTATCAGATGTGTAGACTTATTATAAAGCTAGAGTAGTTATAACAATGCGGTGTCGGCCGAGATATAGACAAACAAATGGAATATAGCACCCACAGCAGATTCAAACATATATGAAAATAGCGTTTAATAGCAGGAGGATTAAAAATCAATAAAGGACATACTACTAAGCAAGGTTGATAGGATAATTGGTTTTGATAAATAGATATTTTAAAAAATCTCTACCAAAATAAATTCTAACTGGTTTAAATGCCTAAGATATGAAAAGCATAAAACTTTTATAATAAAATTTAAACTGTATCTTTATAACTTCAGAATGAAGAAGATATAAAAAGTACAAGCTATAAAATAAAAGATCTAGTAGATAGTGATGATGGTTGCACAACTCTGAATGTACGAGAACTACTGAACTGTACTCTTTGGAAGCATGAATTTTATGATATGTGAATTATATTTCAATAAGCTATTATAAAAATATCCATAAATTTTACTATAATAAAATTTAAAAGTTCTGACCCCTGCAAGACACTATCAACAAATGTAAAAGTCAAGCCACATTTATGGGAGAAAATATTTGTTATACAGGATCCAGAATATGTAAATAACTTCTACAAATCAATACAAATAAACAACCCAATATAAAAATAGCCACAGATATGAACAGGCAGTTCTCAAAGTGAAACCCTAAAAAGCATATGAAAATGTTCTCATTCTCACTAGTCATCAGAGAAATTAAAACAGAAGTTTCCGTTTAATGCTATTAGACT